AAGGTGGAGGCCTGTGAGAAGATGTGAGAATGTGTCGGGCGTCGCGGTGTTGTTTGACGTGCTGTGATCAGCTGTGAAGGCCGCTGCCGCTGCAGGCCTGCGCGGCAAGCTGCGGATATCTGACGCCACAGGGGCGGAAGAATCGACCGATGCTTCCCGGCGACAGCAACCTCCGGGCCTAGACAGACGTCACCGGCGTTCGGTATCGACACAAACGCTGCTAGCACGGTGTGTCTGCATGCCTGCGGTTCCTGTTACGCCGGTGACTGATCTCGGTTAAAGTATGCTCTTAAATCAGCCGTGTTCTTCTTTCGCGGTTCTATAAAACAAATCACCATGTGCTAGTCTGGCCGACCTGAAACAGCCCGGCTGTGCCTTCTCAAGGTGTGCAGCGGCGTCCGCCGCCGCCAACTCCTCTAATCCCCGAGGCACAGTGGCCTTCAGAATCCGATCGCCCAATACAGGGCTGGGGGGGGGGGGGGGGGGAATAACTGCCGGTCTGTTGTACAGGCTCCGGCAAGCTCTATGAATACACGGCTCAACCCATACGGCCGGAAGAGGCCCAGTGGTGTCAATTCGGTAGGTCACCTTGAAGGTAGGGCCTCCAGGTGACCTCCAGGAATACGTCCAGGACGGCCGGTTAGTCACTGCGTGAGCACGAGAGACAGTCGGATTGTCTAGGTTTGGTTTGACGACTGAGCGGGGCAGCAGAGGTTCTCCCCGGACAGAGGACTGCGCTCGTAACATCACACGGCAGGTGCGCTTGGATTGTCCCGAAGGAGACGTGTGTGGCCATCAACGCACGTTCCCTAGCCAACGAGAAATGGCTTGCAGACAGCACAGGTAACACCACGCAGAACAAACTCCACAAGAACAGGAATGTCCTCTGCGTGACGTCACAGTCGCGCACCGCCGTGACGTCACAGTCGCGCTAACCAGGCTTAGCGATCAAGACAGCCCGACTCAGAACAGGCCTGGCGATCAAAACAGCCCGAGTCAAAGCAGGCCTGGTGATCAGAACAGCCCGACTCAGAGCAGGCCTGGTGATAACAACAGCCCGAGTCAAAGCAGGCTTGGTGATCAGAACAGCCCGACTCAGAGCATGCCTGGTGATAACAACAGCCCGAGTCAAAGCAGGCTTGGTGATCGGAATCGCCCGACTCAGAGCGACCCAGGTCCAACAAAAAGCGGAATGCGTGCGCCGGGTTCCCCCAGCCGTGCCACCCCTCCACCGCAGCACCCCACGCGGCTCACAGAGGACGGCCGAGGGACGGGCCCGGTGCCGTCCCCAGCCGGCGGCGGCCAGCCCACCGACCCGCTCAGGCGCCGAGTCAGTCGCGCCAGGCCCGGCCTGATCGGGCCAATGCAACGCGTCACGCGGCCGCGCCGCTGCCATAGCTGGCGATTACGTCTGGCGACCGGCCGGCTCCGGCTTGAGCGGCGTCCGCAGCCTGGCGGCCGCCGGCGCCGCCCGAGCCGGGGCCGGGCCACCTGAGCCGGCTCCAGACGCCGCCCGGGTGCCCGCAGCCGCAGCCTGGCGGCCGCCGGACCGGGCGGCCAACAATGGCCCTCCCCTCCCGCGGCCGGCGCCCTCCGCCCCCGCCGCTCCGCCACTCCGGCTCCCCCTGCCGTGCCGGAAAAGGTGCGGCGAGTTCGGCGCAGCACGCGCCAGGCGTGACCGGGTGGCGCGCGGTCCGCGGTAACGGCGCCGCAGTCTGAACGGACAGGCCTGGGCCGCGGGGTGGCCAACTGGGGCTGGGTCACCGAGCTACGAGGCTGGTCACCAGCCGCTGGCCCGGCCAGGTATGACACGCACGCCTCGAGGGTGTGGCAGGATTGTGGGCGCGTGCGCGGCTCGGTTGCCGCGCCGTAGGCGACCGCCGCAGGGCACGCGTGGTCGATGTCTGCCTGGGCCGCGCCGGGCCACGCGCCCGCACAACCCACCAGGCCTGTGACGTCACGTCACGGCCGCCCGGCTGCAGGTTACGTTACGCCTGCCGAGTTAAGTAGAGCGGGATGACCTAGCTCGCCGCCGCAGCCGCGCGGCGGAGGGGCCTAACGAACCATGGCCAAGCCACCGCGGCGCCGCAGTCACCCACTTGGCGCAAACGCGTCAGGAGCGGGCGAGGGCCTGCGTATTCCGCGTGACGGCTTAAACCATTGAAGCCTCCGCAAAGGCAGGCAGCCGCGCAGCGCCCCGGCTGATCATCTAGCGGCGGCTGCGACAGCGCGCTGCTCACAGCCGCCACCTGAACAGGCCGACTGGGGACAGACGCGAGGGCGCGCCGAACGTGAGCCGAGCGGCACTGGCCAGCCGGCCGCCCTGCGCTGGCACTGACACAGAGGTCATGGAGCTGGCGCTTGGATCGTCTGTATAGCCTTGGCTCTCTCGACCCAGGCGCCGTCGCCTCGGGCGCGCAGCGCCCACCTCGCAGCCCAGGCCACGCCGCCCTTCCGGTCATGTGCCATCGCTTCAAGTCCTTCTTTAACCGTATTTTGAATTTCAGTTCCCGTCATTGAGGACCTCTAAAGTCAGCGTGCGGTTCTCCCGTCCTGAAGGACTTGGTCTCCTGTGTTACCATCTGAGTAAGTTGTCACCGTTTGGATCCCCTGTGCAGCTGTTGGTGTTCATATATCGCCGTCAATGTGTCGGCTCCGATATCACCAGGTGGGTCTCCTGGATCACTGCCTGGGTCTCTCGTGTTACCATCCGGGCCTCCTGCGTCGTCACGTGTGCTGCTGTGACGTGGTGATCTCTTTCATCGCCGTCCTGGTCTTCTGTATCGCCTGCGTTCCGTGTGCACCTCTCCTGTGTCGCGTGCAGGTCTCTACCCTGCCGCGTATCAGTCCACCTGCACATCCCTCCGCGCACCGCCGCCGGCGGTTCCGGACCACGCCGCCCGGCACTCTCCGCCGAAGCGGCAGACCTTCCCAGGGACGGATGGCACTGCGCCGCCCGCCGGTGACGGCGCCGCCGCTGTCCGCCAGTGACGGGGCCGCCGCCCGCCGTGTAGGCGGCGGCGGCGGCGGCGGCCGCGGCAGGTCGGCCGTATCAGTGCGGCCGGCAGACCTTGAACAGTGCCGGCCGGCCGCCGGGCGGCGGGCGGCGGGCGGCGGGCGACGGGCGGCGCACCGACCCCTCCCCAGTCCGGCTCGAGCCGGCGAACATCGCGCGCCGCCGTAAGGCCGAGCCGAAAAGGTGCACGGCGCGTCCGGTCTCTGTGCAGCCGGACAGGCACAGCGCACCTATGGAGCGTGTGTTGAAGCATCAAACGGGGACAACAAGCATTCCGGATACACACAGAGGAGGCGCGGATTCGGGGCGCTCCTGCACCGGTGCCTGCGTCACATCTGGACGATAACACGGCACACGCTAGGTGGGCCACCACGGTCCGAGGGTCAGCGCCGGCTGGACGGTGGCCCCGTTCCTGAACAGGAGCGGCTCCTGTTCAGCCGGCCCGGCCAGCCTCACACATGGTAGGACCAAGGACACCGCGCGACACAGACCCAGACGGGCCCACGCCACGGTCGCACCGAGCGCCGGGAGCCGAGCGCCGCGCCGCCGCCGTCCACCGGCACGCGGTGCAGCTGGCGGCAGCAGGACAGCCGGCAGCCAGCCGGCCAAGCGCTGGTCTTGACAGATCTCTACTGGAGGAGGCACCTGGCTTCAAGTTTATACAACAGAGACACAAGAGACATCGCTCGCGGGCCCGAGCTAGCGGCCTGAAACCGCCGAATGAATTTTGTCGTCGGAAGATAACATCAGCAAGAAGGCCCGCCGATCGCCGGCGACCAAAATGGACCTCGCATTTCACTTGACTTCGTGGTCGGCCCGGCACCCGAGTCCGGCCGGGCGGGGACGGTCACGCGGCCAGCAGCCGACTGAGGGCCGGACCGCGCAATAACCAGCTATCGCGAGCAACGGCCGGCGGCCAGCGGCGGCGGCGGCGGTGGTGGCGGCCGGTGGACCTGGCCGCCGCCCACCCGGCTGGAATCAGGGTCATACCGTTACCGGGCGACTGGCCGCCTCTGCGAGTGCGCGTGTCTGCCGGCTAACTGTACCCACGCCGCCGCACGTCGGCCCGCGGCGGCGCGGGGGTCGCCGCTGCCGGCGGGGAGGCGGGGCCGCTCGCCGACCACCGGCGAGAGCGCGCGGCGGCCGGCCAGCACGGCCAGCCGCCGAAAGTGTTTCAATGTCAGGCGGCGCCGCCGAGCGCGGCCGGGCGGCGGCACGCAGCCAGAGGCGGCGGACGCCGCGCCCGGCCACCGGCGCAGCGGCGACGCCAGGACGAGCGCACCGTCGGAGGCGCCGCAAGGGGGGGGGGGCAACAGGCGGTCGGCCAGGAGGAGACGGGACGAACTGATCCTGGGTGGATGGCCGGGCGTGTTCCGGTTCCTCTCACCAGCAGCGAGACGCAGTCCGGACCTGCCCCAGCAGGAACCAGGACAACAGGAACTGACAGGGCGGGGGCGGAGCACCGGCGTGGCGCAGACGGGAGAGACGGAGTAACGGCAGAGGACGGAACACGGTCCAGGCCAAAGCGAGATGGGAGGACCCGGGGGCGTGGGGGCACGTAGTTGAGTGGGGACGCCGCTAGGTGAAAACCGACGACAAAAAGACTCAAGAACCGCGCTATGACGGCCACTGCGGGCACCAGGAAAACAGGCACTCCTGCGGGCAACGACCCTCGTGTAATCGCACACCCGGGAAACAGGTTGGGAGCAGGGGGCGCGGCGAAAAGTAGACAACGCACGCGGACGCACGGTCCACGATCGGTTTCACCGTTCCGTCAGAGAATGGGGACGCGGCAAACAGGACGGGGCGGCAGTGGACAGGGCTCACCAGGACACGGCGCCACCGGCGGCGCCAGCCCGCGAGCAGGGCACGATAAACACGCGGCAGGGGCGGCTCCAGCGCGTCGGTCGCGGGTGAACGGCCGCCGCGTGTTCAACGGTCAGAGGCGGCGCCAGGCATGCGTCACTCGGCGCAGACCACCCACCTGAGAAGGTACCGCTGTACACGCCCTTGCCGTGGTGGTGCATGCTCTCGATGATGGCGCCCGGGTGCGGCCGCAGCGGCGCGCTGCCAGAGGCGGCGCCAGGTGCGGCAGACGGGGAGGACAGCAGCACGGTCGGCCCGTCCTGCAACGGTCGGGGCCCGATCAGCTGATGCGTTCGGCAGAGGTCGACGATAGCGCGCCGCGGACTCCACCAGCACTGTTCTGGCAATGCGCCTGCCTGTGAGCGCTGTGGCCTCTTCAGAGCTGGCAACCAGGTGGATGTTCCCTTTCGTTGCAAACTATTTCGTGCACACCGTAACGGCGCTAATGCTTATTTCCTTTCCGATATTCCACTCTCTTCCAGACCAAGGGGCTCCGCCATGCACGGGAACACCCATGGACCCACGCACCTGTCTGAGAATAGGATTGGCTGGCGACGGCGCTGTTCGTGAATCAGCCGTCGCTTCACGCTGACCCTAAGTCGCACCCAGGTGCGGAGAACAGCTAACCGACGACGGAACGCGCGGGCGTTCCTCACAGCGATGCGACGAGCGCTGGGGCCGGCTCGGCGTGTGCCCATTTTGGGCACTTGCGGTGGCACAAGAGGGCCTCCAGCTGCGCATTGCTTTGCACCGGCGCTCAGCCCCGTGAACACAAGAGTGGCACAGCGCCCGCGGCCAACCGGGGACACCTCTTCCAGCCGGCGTAAAAAGCCCCAATCAGCGGCACGCGCGCGGAGAGCGGTTAACTATCCGCACGGCCCATCAGACCAGCGCCGCACCAAATCTACCCTCCTTCGCCCCCCATCAGGCGCCGAGCAACGCGTGCGACGGCCCAGCTTGGCAGCAGGTGCCGCGGTACCCAGCCTCGGGCAACGCATGCGTCTCTCGCGGCGTGCGGCGGCCCCTTCGCAGCACACACCCCAGCCCGGCGGCGGCTCGGGCGCGCCGCGGGATTGACGTCCGGCCGCGTGGGGCCTGCGCGTGAGAGCCGCGCGTGGGGCGTGCGTCGTCGCGGGTGGAGGCGGTGGGAGGGCGCGCGTGGAGGGCTGCACGCACGACGCGGAGGACCGGGAGACGGGAGAGCCCGGGGGCGCCACGGCCGGCCGGCCTCGGCCGCTAAATCCGTCACAAAGCGGCGCGCCGCCGCGGTAGCCGCCCCTCGGCCGCGAGGCGCTGCCGCCACGTTTGGGCGCGCCAGTGACGCCCGCCGGGCAGGTGGCGAGCAGGCGGCCGCCAGGGGCGCTGCTGGCGCACCCGCCAGCTGATGCCAGCCCCGTGCATAAGCTGATCAGGGCGCAGCAGCGGGCTGCGCAGAAGCACGCCAATAAAACGATTACGGCGTCGCCCAATACTGCGCCGCCGTAGCCGCAGTGCCGATACCCCGCAGCGCTCCGCGGCCCCAATCCTGCGTCAGCTGATACGGGCCCGGCGTCAGCTGATACCGAGGCGTCGATACTGTGCCGCCGGCGCGCCCGGCCCAGCAGTCAACTGACGATGCGTCGGGCGTTGGCCGGAGCGGCGCCTCCTGCCGTCTCGTCCTGTCTGGTGTCGATCGGTCAGACCGCGGCGCCAGCCAGCCAGTCTGTCAGTCCGCGGGCCTCACCAGCTTGTCAGTCTGTCAGTGCGCGGGCGCCGCCAGCCTGCTAATCTGCCAGTCCGCGGGCCTCGCTAGCCCGCCGGTTGTCAGTCTATGGGCCCCGCCAGCCTGCTAATGTCAGTCCGCGGGTCCCGCCAGCCCGTCAGTCTGTCAGTCTGCGGGCCCCGCCAGTCCGACGCCCGCGGGCTCCATGGGCGTCACCAACTCCTCAGCCCCACAGTTCATCGGACTTCCCACAGTTCATCAGTTTTCGTCAGTTCATCAGACTTATCCATTCGTCAGTCCTCACTCCGTTGTTCCCAGTGCCTTGCCATGCCTCAGCCAGTCAGCCCGCCTGTCAGCCGTTCACTGATCAGTCACTTTATCAGCTCGCCAACCGTCGGCCTGTCACCGCGTGATGTCAGTCCGTCACCGCGTGACGTCAGTCCGTCACCGCGTGAAGTCAGCCCGTCACCGCGTGAAGTCAGCCCGTCACCGCCTGACGTCAGTCCGTCACAGCGTGACGTCAGCCTGTCACCACATGACGTCAGTCCGTCCATTCGACCGTGCTTCAGTGCGTCCCTCCATCAGCCGTGCGGCTGGAGGGTGACGTGTCTGCGCTGCGTCTGTTCTCCGCCGCTCCGTCACCTGACCCGCTGTCCAATACACGGGCGGCGACGACCGGCCGGCCGCCGCGGCGCCGGACGTCGTGTCCCCAATTCCTGCGGCGCCGGCGGCGGCCGCCCGCCGCGAGGTGGCCGGCCGGCTCGGTAGCCGCGTCCGGCCCGACGGTCCCGCCCCAGCGCTCCCCGGCGGCTGCGGCGCGGCTCCGATCCGGGCCCGATGGCATCTGACGCGGCACCTCGATCCCGGCCGTATCACTGACGGCTGGTTTGACAGGGAGGCGGATCCGTTCGCCCGCAGTGATTCCGCCCTGGCCTTGGTTCGGCCCGAATTGAAGCGTGCACGCTCTAGCTGGATACACGTGCTCCCCCACATCTATGGAAGCTTAAACGGAGCTCTTGCCGAAGCGAGGTGCACAAAATTCCCGCAAATCGCCCAAATTCGCTGCAAGCCACTAAGCTTTCGAACTCGACTGGCTGAATCCCACGCAAAAGAGCGATCACGACCAGCGAGGCCGGTCCGCTCCCGCTGGCGCGTTCCAGCAGCGCCGGCGGAGGCGGTAGCGGTGGCGGCGGCGCCAGGAACGGGCGGGGCGCCGGGCGCGTGGCTGCACGGTCCGCTCGGCGCGGCACCCGGTGAAACTCGGCGGGAGGCGGCCGCGGCCGCGGCCGCTGCCGGCCGCTCGCCGTGCCCTCACCGGCGGTGGGAGCCACGGCCACTCGGGCTCACTTCAGGCGGGGGGCTCGACGCCAGCGGCTGTTAGAGCGCATGGTGGGCGGCGGTCGACTGTCGCACCGCACCGAATCTCAGCATGTCTCCTCCGCGGCGGGTGGACATAATCTTTACTCAGAGCTTAGGGCAGTTGGTGGGACCAACAGCTGTTTTGAAATGGGAATCTGTGATGTATCGAGTTGAGTTGATGTAGAATGTTCCTTTTTTCTGGGTTGAACAAGTGAAATGCCGTTGGTGTGAAAACAATATCATCAAGGAAGGGCATGGGAGATAGCGGCAGAAGCAGCACAAGCCAGGCTGTGCGAGATTCGCCTCACCATTGTCACAACTACGCGCAGAAATCAGCCCAAACAAAGACCACACGTCACCCTACTTGGGAAAGCCTCGCCACTCTCCTGACGTTCCCACACTCCATCCAGCAGCACAACACATGCAAAAACAAACAGCACAAGTCACAGCAAACCGCCTCCTGCGCATGCGACTACGCAACAGCCTGCCTCCGGGAAGAACAGGTCAGGTGACAGGCGACCACTCAACGCTGCCCAAGAGCCCCCATGTTGTCGCTGCCTCCCACCTGGTCCTTGGTGTCGGTGCCGCCGGTCAGCACCTCCGACGAGAGCTGTTTGAGGGTGCGTGTGAGGTTGCGGCTGGCCTCGGTCAGCGCGCGCGTGTCCAGCTGGCTGCGCAGGCCCGACGCTGGGTCATCGTGGCCACGAGGCCGCTGGTGCGGGCAGCGTCGCTGCCGACGCTCGGCCGCCGCTGGCTCGGACGGCGGCGGCGGTGGCGGCGGCGGCGGCGGCGGAACGGCCGTCCGGACAGCCGCGCCCGCTGCCGCCGGGGAGCCGGGAGATGCGGGGGAGGCGGGGGAGGCGGGAGGCCGGGAGGCCGCCGCGGTGGCCGGCGGCCGCAGGTTGCGCCGCGCCGCCACCTGCGCCGGCGAGAGCTGCAGCTGGATCAGCATCATGTGCTCGCCCAGGCGTACGGTTAGGTTCAGCGGAGCCTTGCCCGACAGGAATTCGGTCACCTGTAACACACAGCCCCGCAGAAAAACACGTCAGCTGACGTGCGCGCCGGCGGCGAACAATGGTGCGGCAGCAGCAGCGGCGGGCGCCGCGCGCCGGCCCCGCCAACACAGGGCGCAGCACAAACAGAGCCGGCCGCCCGGACAGCCTTGAGCCGCGGCGGCCGCAGTCGAGCCGCTGCATTCATGAGCCGTTGTCGGGGCCGGGCCGGGCCGGATGGCGGCGCGTCCCGCCGCCGTCCGGCGAATCAGCGCGTGCAGGGCCGACCTGGCAAATAGAAAGCGCGCGCCGGCGCGGCGCGGCGGCTCGCCATCGCCCGCCGCTCGCCGCGCTTCTGAGTGGCACGCACGTCTATTTCGGCGCGGCTCGACCTAGCGGCGGCCCGGCGCGCGCCTCCGAGCGTGGCGCTGCGCCACCACGCTGACCACAGACGGCGGCGCCAGCCGGCCGGAACCATCAGCTGACGGCGGCGAGCGCACCGCACGGCAGCCGCTCGTGGCGCCATCGGGGTCAGCCGGACCCGACGGGCCGGCGGCGCGGCCGTAGCGCTCCGGTTTTGGGTGCCGCTCGGCCGCGCGCGGCTCGCTTCGTTGCGGGGCTTGCGACCAAAGACGCGGAGCCGTCAGCGAAAGGCCGCGAGCGGACCGCTTTATGGCCATAAGAAATGAAAGGGCGCTCAGCGAGTTCAACTCGACGCAGATTAACTGGCGCACAGGCTGGCTCTGCACGGCCACATACGCCGATGTTCGCATGTTCGAAAGCGTGTTTCTGAGATTCAAGTCACAAATCCAAGTTCCATTCAAGGGACATTCTCAGCAGCACTTAAGGGTCCGACACACTTCCACACCACATACCACAAGTGGACAGTGTGCTTGCACCGGGCATGCAAACGAATCCGAAAAGCATACACCAGTCAGCAAGATCGATGCCGCCGGCAGGTATGCCGTGCGCCTACCGCGCAAGCCTGTTGAAGCACGAAGTAAGGTACACAAAGCTGGGCATTACTCGGCATAGCCCCCTTTTCCTTTCACTAAAAAGCAAACTCAAAATGGAGCATGCAACGGCTTTGGGGCCGACTCATGAGCCGACCACAGATCTGAAGACCCGGCAAAAGCACGAGGCTTTACAGGCGGCAGCGCCCAGTGTGGCCAAGATTCCTGCCACCAGAAATGGAAACCCGACGGGAACAACCAGCCATGTCTGCAACGGACGTCATCTGCCACCCTTCTGCCGCCGACTCTGTTGAAGGTTGTGAACCCATCATATGCTCAATACACAAATTGTCGCTATCATGCATGGCCTTGGCGAACATGGCTGCCGCCACGGCTGCCGCGCGCCTGGGCGTGGAGCACCGGCACCTGCGTTAGGGGGACTCGAAATTTGCATGATTTCCCGCATTGCCTGTAGCTGTGGAGTCCACCGCCCAATCGCAGTGACGTGGGGCGTGCGACGTTGAACGACCCCCACCTGCCTGCACTATGCAGCCTAAGCCTGGCAGCTATCGTGCGATACGAAGCCACGGCCTGGTTCGGACCGCGGCTGGCATCTTACCTGGCTGGGACTTCAAGTTCTCCAACGCCTGCATGACACTCTGCTCGGGCCGATGGCTCTGCAACACCACAGATTGAGCGTTACACTCAGTCCAGCACACTCACACAGTCCACGTACTATCAGTCCAGCACACAGTCACACACAATGCAGCACCAGGAACTGCATCAACCACGGTATTCTGACACTGACTTCAGGTTATTTCAAAACTTGATCATCGTTCTGATTGAATGGCTTTCAGTTCAGTGGGCCTATCTCAGTCCTTGGATGCATGCACGTGATAAGTGCGGTGGATGGATGTGTGCACGTGATAGGTGCGGTGGACGGATGTGTGCACGTGATAGGTGCGGTGGACGGATGTATGCACGTGATAGGTACAGTGGACGGATGTGTGTACGTGATAGGTACAGTGGACGGATGTGTGCACGTGATAGGTACAGTGGACGGATGTGTGTACGTGATAGGTACAGTGGACGGATGTGTGTACGTGATAGGTGCGGTGGACGGATGTGTGCACGTGATAGGTGCGGTGGATGGATATGTGCGGTGCGTTCGTCACTGCATGAAGCCGAATCACGCTTGCAAGAGCACATGCTCCGAGAGAGCATGCGGCACCGCAGCAGCGCGGACGCGCACCACGCGCGTGCCAGCCTCTGGCGGCGAGGCAGCGTCAACACCGCCAGCCGCTGCCGTCGGCGTCCATGGCACGTCAGCCTGCGGCGGGCCAGTTGGCACGGGCGCGGCGGCCGGCGCGGCGGCCGGAGCGGGGGCCGCGCACCGCACGCCCACGGCACGGGCGACAGCTGCAGCAGCCGCCCGCCGAGCCCGGCTATCCGGCTCGAGGCCGCCGCTCTGGCGCGCCGCTGCGCGCCGGCCCGTCCGCCTCCCTGGACAGCACGAGCGCCGCGCGCATGGTAACTGCCAGGCGTCGTGGGTATGTGCTGAGCTGTGCTGTGCAGCGCGTCACTGCCAGTACAGCTGGGAACCGATGGCATGACACTTGTCATGACTGATGTGCTTATGGCTGCCCGTACGAACAAGCGCGACGAGTGAACACCTGCCCTCTGTGTCTTAAGAGCACGCGCTGACATTAAGTTCAGCACCCGGCTCGAGCTGATGCGTGAGAGCGGGACTTTGTCAGACCCCCGCGGCCGGTGCACCGACAGCCCGAGCGGTGCTGGTCTGCCCCACCGACAGCCCGAGCGGTGCTGGTCTGCCCCACCGACAGCCCGGGCGGTGCTGGTCTGCCCCACCGACAGCCCGGGCGGTGCTGGTCTGCCCCACCGACAGCCCGGGCGGTGCTGGTCTGCTACACCGACAGCCCGGGCGGTGCTGGTCTGCTACACCGACAGCTCGGGCGGTGCTGGTCTGCTACACCGACAGCCCGGGCGGTGCTGGTTTGCTCCGCCGACGGCCGGGCGGTGCTGATCTGCTCCGCCGACGGCCGGGCGGTGCTGGCCTGCCCTGCCTGCCGCCGCGCCGACGCCGCGCATTCCCGAGAGCAGAGTGGCACCATCCGCGGCCGGCTGCCCCGTCCCATTGGCGCTGATTATCTGACAATCAGCCGCCGCCGACGCGGCGAGGGGCACCATCAGCCGCCGAGGGGGCGCCGGCCGGCCCGACCTGCCGCCGGAGGGGAGCGCGCGGCCTGCGGGAGACGCTGCCGCCGCGTGACCCCGCGCAGCCGACGCGGCACACAGCCTCAGTGCACCGCTCGATCGCTGTGCCGTCACAGCCGCGCGACGGCCCCTGAACGCCGCGTCGATACCGGCCGCCCGCCGTCACCCTCACAGCTGTGTGGCCGGCGCGCCGGCACCGACAGCGTGTACGAAAATATGGATAATCAATACGTGCAGGGCGAAGGCGACCGCAGCAGTGTAGCAGTCCGGTCGAAATGTCGACATGTGGCGCCAGAGCGCGCACCACACGCCGGCCCCAGCCAGCGTGGCGAACAAAGGTGGCATTTGATGCGCAAAAGGGAAGGGCAAGTACTGGGTGTACTTGCCCTTCCCAAGTACTTGTACAAGTACAAGTACATAGTGAACTAGCATCTCCCGCTGCCCTTAAAAGAGGGAAGCACACAAAATATCCAGAAATTGGCCTGCATGACGTTGTGCTGTTTTTTTTTACTTCTGTTAGACTCCACGTGGCATACTCACCTCAACGCCGCCGCACACCGGCCGTGTAAGTCAAATGTGACAAGACCGCACGATGGCCCAAGTAGCCAACGCGCTCAATAATATCTATAATCCTCATCATAAGTGGCACCTCGACGATTTGTATTTGCGTGTCGTAGTTATCATCCTGACAACCTTTTTGGGATGGAGCGTGATTCCCAAAATGTGGTCCCTCAAATTCGAAAAACGCAGGTAGAGGCTGCAATTATTTTGCGAAATACAACTGGTGCTCTCCGGACATGGTAACCACTGCCGCCGCACTGGCCCATCGTCTGGCTAGGTCGGTGTCCCTTTCCGTCGCTCTTTTCCAGGCATTTCAACTCCCGCCAGATGCAGCTCAATTCCCCGATATTGGTACTAACGAGAAATGCGGAAAACCTGCGATGGTTGAAGAAAAACATTCGCGAAGAAGCATGTGTGCGGTTCATATACACCCACACGCACGCACGCACCCACACCCACACAGTCTGTTAAGCACTTTGACCCCTCACGTTGCCAGCTTGCACGTCTCGGCCAGTCATAGGCCGACAGTGCAGCCTCTTCTCCGTCGATTGGTCGCAGCGACACGAGCACGGCTGGCGCTCACGAGATTGCCCTGCCTCGTGACTTGGCTCTGAACTCCTCGCGGAACTGTCAGCCAGTCTCATGACTTGGCACCGCGCCATACGCCGGCGCTCCGGAGCGCTATCGGCCTTTGACCAGCTGATCCTGCTCTGCTTGCCCCGTGCCGTCAGGGGACCATACTCCCTGAGCGGTATGCCCTCCCCTCCAGGTGATGCCGTGACCTCGGTACCTCCCTTCCCCGGCACTAGGCCGAAGCGGTACGCTCTCGTCCCGCAACCCAGACTGCCTCCCCGTTCGTTGGCCCGAGACAGGCGGCTCTTGCACTTGGGGCGTGACCTGATGGGCGGGCTCTGTCACAGGGCCACCGAGCCAGTAACCAGACCAGTCGGTCCTGTGATCAGGTCAGCTGGTCCTGTGAGCTGATCAGTTAGGCCTGTGACCTGACCAGCTGATCCTGTGAGCTGACCAGTTGGTCCTGTGACATGGCGCGCACTCACATGCATCCTTTCGGGTGGTTGTCAGGAATGGTCCCCTAAACCGACCTGACTCTTGTCCCGTCCCCCTCGCCCTGACTTCTGTCCCGTTCCCCTCGCCCTGACTTTTATCCCGTCCCCCTCGCCCTGACTCTTGTCCCGTCCCCCTCGTCCTGACTCGTGGCACGTCTCCATCGTCCTGACTCTTGACCCGTCCTCTCATCCTGACCGTTGAGCCGCCCCTCGTTCTGACCCTTGTCCCATCACCTCGTCCTGATTCATCTCCCGTCCCCATCGTCCTGAGTTTTGTTCTGTCCCCCTCCTCCTGACTTTTGACCCGTCCCCCCTCGACCTGACTCTTCTCCCGTCCCCCCCCCCCCACCCGTCCACAGGCAAGACCAGTCACCAGCCGCTGCGATCACCTGACCCAGTGACCTAACGCGCCCCCCCCCCCCAGCGGGCGAGCCGGGGGGAGGGGGGCGGTGCCGCCGCCACCAGAGGGCGGCGCTGCTCCGCCCCCGTTGGAGCCGGCCGGCCAAACAAACAAAGCGCCGGCTGAACAATGGCCCGTCGCGCTGCTGCGAGGCGGCTGCGGCGACACTGGCACACCTCGCCCCATCTCCGCCCGGCCGGGCCATGGGCGCGCACATGGTGTCGACATATCTCCCACACGCGGCACCAGCTGAGCCGTGGCACGGCCGCACGGAACGACATTTTCTGATGGAGAGCCTGACACGGCATACCGTACCTTCTCTGGGTCCGACTCAGACAGCGGCGCCACCAGGATTATCTGGGGGTAGGGAGACGGGGCAGCCTTTGACTACGCCGGTGGTCTCGGAAGACAAGATGCCAGTCGACAGCGCCACACGTCCGTCAGGCGCTGTCAGATGCTGGCCACCAGAGCCACACATCCGTCAGGCACTGATGCCGGCCGCCACCGCCACACGTCCTTCAGGAGCTGTCACGGCTGTTTTGGCCACACCTCGTCACCGTTATGTGACCTGGTCTGTGCTCGGTGAGCGTGGTCGGTACGGTCCCATTACACGAGCGTCCACTAGTCAGGCGGGGACGGTGACGGCCGGCTCATTTCAGGCGTCACGCACTCGGGAGGATCCTCGCCTTGTTCACGTGCTACCATATATAGTCCATATTTGAGGCTCCTGTGGCCCAGTCAAGCCCATCCGCGGTATGCATTTTAATAGAATCCGACATTTACGTCATGTATAGTGACCGGTCTTGCCGAACACGCTATGCACCCGTATGTAGTTTGAACACCCCGTAAAAATGTTGTGGTCAGCCTGTGATTGATCATCCTACTCCACTTCTGCCAGGAACAATGAGGTGGTGGAGTGAGGACGTGGCGTGTCCAGACTGCAGGCGATTTTCTCGTATTCCGTAACCGGCGCGGAACCCATGCCGTCCCGACAGATCCCATGCTGGAGGACGTGCAAGCCGTGTTACGACCCCGCTGCTTCCAGTGCTCCACGTGTCACGTCGGTTGTCGAAGACCGCAACATGCCAGACTATGGCGATCAATCAGTCATACCAGACTACGGCAGTCAGTCAGTCATGCCAGACTACGGCAGCCAGTCAGTCATGCCAGACTACGGCAGTCGTGCGGCTCATAAGCAGGCCGGGCGCTTGTAACATGCGCATGTGCAAGACGTCGCAGTCCATGTTCATTTCTCGATACCATCTCCCACACGGAGGGGCCACTGCTCTCGGCTCTGCTCGGTACATGCCGTTGTGACTTACCAGTGCAGGCCGGGTAGCGACACTCAAAAGACCGCAGCTACCCGTGTGCGCGTGTTTGGTTCAGCAGGGTGACCGTCTCTGACCCCGCGGCCACCCCTGGCGCCGACACTGCACCGCCACCCACAGCCGTGCGCCGATCCCACTCGGCACCAATCTCCGCGCTCTCCGAAGCCTATCTCCCATCGCATTTATCTCCCGATCGAATCACACTCCTCATTCGTCATTGATGCTATCGCCTGTTAGATAGTTTCGACGTGTGTCCTGTGCCAGCATCACCTGATTTTGATCCCACCTGGCGGCCCGCCCCCGGTCCCGCCCCCGCCCCCGTCACGTCGCACCCCTATCCGAGCGGCACTGGCGGTCGGGCGAAAATCAATGTGCGCCGGCGGGCGGGGGATGGGAGGGGGGGGGGACGTCTCGGACCCGGGCCCGTCAGGCCGTCACAGAGGGCTGAGAGCCGGGTCCGTCAGGCCGTCACAGAAGGCTGAGAGCCGGACCCGCCAGGCCGTCACAGAAGGCTGAGAGCAGGGCCCGTCAGGCCGTCACAGAAGGCTGAGAGCCGGGCCCGTCAGGTCGCCACAGAGGGCTGAGAGCCGGGCCCGTTAGGCCGTCACCGAGGGCTGAGAGTCGGACCCGTCACGTCGTCACAGAAGGCCGAGAGCCAGGCCGTCAGGCCGTCAGAGAAGGCTGAGAGCTGGGCCCGTCAGGCCGTCACAGAAGGCTGAGAGCCAGACCCGTCAGGGCCGTCACAGAAGGCTGAGGGCCGGACCCGTCAGGCCGTCACAGAAGGCTGGGAGCCGGACCCGTCAGGCCGTCACAGAAGGCTGACAGCCGGACCCGCCAGGCCGTCACAGAAGGCTGAGAGCCGGACCCGTCAGGCCGTCACAGAAGGCTGAGAGCCTGACCCGTCAGGCCGTCACGGAAGGCTGAGAGACGGACCCGTCAGGCCGTCACAGAAGGCTGAGAGACGGACCCGCCAGGCCGTCACGGAAGGCTGAGAGACGGACCCGTCAGGCCGTCACAGAGGGCTGAGAGCCGGACCTGTCAGGCCGTCACAGAAGGCTGAGAGCCGGACCCGTCAGGCTGTTACTAAGACGCCACCGCCGGCAAAGACCACGCGTGCCACCGGAGCGAGCTTATTCTTGGAGAGCCATCCGACAGACCGGCACATGCGCCCCAGCACTGATCCCTTCTTTTGGCTGGCCGGAACTGAAGTGGGAAGACCGCATCTGGACTTGTCAGGGTAGTTGGACGCTCGTCAGAGCTGGCGTCGGGTACCGCAGGCCCGAATGCTGCGAAGGCCCATGCGTGCGATGTCGGACACGCAAGCCGTACTTTGAGGGAGCCATCACATGGCTGCTAAAGCCAGATCACGAGTGCTCCTCGGACAGTCGCCCTTATCTCCCAGCGTCGTCTCTAAGTACAGACACGACACCACGCGGTCCGGGGCAGATGTTACCACCCCCCGCGGAGGGTCTTCGGCCTCTCTCCGTCTCCCGGTGGGCCACGCCGGCGCCCTATTGCTAGAAGCCGTTTGTATCAGGTGACGTCGCCTGTCAACTATCCAGCCGTGGTCCCCCCCCCCCCCTCCTTCCCGGCCCCGGCTCAGCTCACCAGCAAGCACTCTACCCCTCCGACACGGGTCACGCTCCGGCACTATGTCTTCAGGCCCCAGTCAGCATCAGAAGCCATCAACGTCGAACCAGGTCAGGATCCGTCCTCCGCCCGGGTCACCATGAGACGCTTTGTCCCCAGACTCCTGACACCACCACACGTCATGGCATCCAGTCGCAGTGACCGTTGGACCACGTCCCGTTGGATTGTGTCAGGGTCGGGTCGGATCAGGTCAGCGTCGAGTCAGGTCAGTGTCGGATCAGGTTAGTGTCGGGTCAGGTCAGCGTCAGGTCACGTAAGCATCGGTCAGGTCAGCATCGGGTCAGGCCGGCATCGGGTCAGGTCAGCGCCGGGTCAGGTCAGCGCCGGGTCAGGTCAGCGCCGTGTCAGGTCAGCGCCGGGTCAGGTCAGCGCCGGGTCAGGTCAGCGTCGAGTCGGGTCAGTGTCGGATCAGGCCAGTGTCGGGTCAGGTCAGCGTCAGGTCAAGTTAGCATCGCTCAGGTCAGCGCCGTGTCAGGTCAGCGCCGTGTCAGGTCAGCGCCGGGTCAGGTCAGCGTCGGGTCAGGTCAGCGTCGGATAACGTCCCGCTCAGTCAGATCAGCGTCCGAGCCACGCCCGGTCAGCGTCAGGCCAAGTGCCGTCAGGTCGGGTCGGGTCAGGTCAGGTCCAGGTCGCGCCGTCGGCCGAGGTCCGGCGCCGCCAGGTGCGGGCGCCCGGTAACGATTGGCGCCGGGCGCCGATGCAATCATTACCGGCCATCTGTGGCGGCCGTCGGCAGGGATCAATGCGGGCCGAGGTGGGACGGGCAGCCGCCGGCGGGAGGACGGCTCCGACACGCCGGCCTATCGACACAGCCGCGCGCCGGCCACCGCAGAGGGGAGGGGGCGGGGGGGGGGGCGACGTCGACGCGTCGTCCCCGTCAGGGCTGGAGCCGGCTGCTGGCGAGCGGCGCCGCTCCTCCGGTGGGGACACTGGGGTGTTTGTGAGGTGCCTGGGCGAGGCAGTGCTCCGGCGCATGGCGTTTAAGCGTGATGGAAGGCACCGACCGTCATCATGGTCTGTAATCATGGCCTCCTCGTCACATAAGTAAGGTTGTGTACGGAGGACAGACAATTGCTGCACTGAGTTGTTAGTTTCACGTTTGTTTGCGCCTTCCGCGCTTCAGCACTTGCCCATGGGCCAGCAAGTCTTAATAAACTCCTGCTGCTGGAACAGCGTTTCATACCATGCTTCGCAACATTTTGTTTTCAAAACCATCAAATTCCTATTCGCGGAGGCCGGACTTCGGCCGTGAGGCTGACCGCCAGCAGCCAGACCCGGCCGACCGAGCCGTGCCGGCCGGCGACCCACCGGCCGCCTCCGCCGCCGTTGCGCCCCGGCCAGCCGAGCCGTGCCGGCCGGCGGCCCGCTGGCCGCCTCCGCCACCGCTGCGCCCCGGTCAGACGGCCGGTCGCCCCCGGAGCGTTGTTTTCGCTGGCGGCAGCTATTTTCTGCGGGCGGCTCCAGGCGGCCGGGACGGGAGGAGCCGGCCTGAGCGATCACCCAGCACGGGGGCCGCCATCAGCAGCTGCCGGCCGCCGTCTGGGATGCGTTGCCGCCGACATCACCATGAGCGGGAGACGACGCGGGGCTGCGGGGCGGCGGCGAACGGCCGCCGAGTCAATCATGCACCAGGCGTTCAAGATGATAGGAACCTCGCCGCAGTCCACTAGAATGATCGAAATGTGGGGGCCCGGTGATGGTGAGGAAATATGGCCGTCCATATTTCGCGAGCAGTCTGAGCTCACAGGCGGCCAGCGCAGCCTACAAGGGCCGGTCTCATCCGTGCCGGTCCGGCCAGTTTGTCCCCAAACCGCCACGGCAGCTCCGGCACGTGAGCGCGCGCCTTGAACGATAACAAACTCCAGCCGAGTGCGGGAAGCGTGCCAGCGGCGGCGGCGGCCCCCGCAGCCGCCGCCGTCGCCTGCGACCTCACGCCAGCCGGGTAAGCCGAGCCGGTGCCGAGCTCACGCCCGCGGGTAACCCGAGCCCCGGCCGAGCGCGCCGGCCAGTCGGCGGAGGGTAGCGACGCCCACCGGCGACACTGAGCCCCTGACGGCGACACCGAGTCCCTGCCGCTGACACTAAGCCATTTACAGCGACAACGAGCCCCTGACGGCATCACTGAGTCCCTGACGGCGTCACCAAGCCCTGACGCCGAGTCAAACAGTCCCCGGAGACGGCATTGAGCCTGCACCGCTGACTATCACGGCCAGCCCCTGCTGACAACAATCAGCCCGAAACGACCGAAACGACCAGCCTCTCCTGAGCGCAGGCGCGGCTGGAGGGCAAGGCGGCTGCAGTGGCAGCAGTGTGAGCTGATGCGAGACCGAGGCATATAATACGTTGCGCGTCAGCGGCCGTCTGCAGTGCTGTCGCAACGGTCTGGCCGCGTCCCGACTGCTGACCGCGAGAGCCCGCGATACAGGGATTAGAGCGGCGGACGGCCGTGCGCTGCCGTGTTTGCCAGCGCTGGCTCCTGCGACTATCGCGCGCCCCGAGCCACACGAGCTGCATTCCGAGGCGATGCGTAGGCCGCGTCAGCCATCGGCCAGCTGGCCGCCACTCGCGTCGGGGTCTCGGCGGGATGTGCTGGGAACTGCGGCCCAGCGGCGCGCCGCCGAGCAAGTACAGGAGCGGGCGCGGCGTCAGCGTGGTTCCCCGCTCCCGCCCGCTGTGCCGGACCCTGGCCTCCCCCTCCCCCCACCCCATGCACGCCGGTTCGGCGCGGGCTGTGCGGGTGGTTCGGCGCCGGGCCGCAGCCCGCCCAGTGGCGCCGCCCCGCGGCCGCCGCCGGCGGCGCACAGCCGCGGTGTTATTGAATCGGGGCGGCCGGGCCGGCGCGGCCGGCGGCCACCGCCGACCCCAGCCGCCCACGTGTCCGGCTCAGTGTAACAAGTGGCGGTAGGCGCGGGCGGGCGCGAGCGACCTTTGCGGCGCGTGCGCAGTGCGCGCTGTCACCGCGCCTCATGCGGCCGGCCACACCGCGACGGTGACGGCAGGCCGCGTCCGCAGCCGCCCTCCAGCGCCGCCACTCGTGCCCCGCTCGTCCCGGCTCGCCGGCGGCACAGGACGGCGCCAGACAGCGCCGACGAGCCGGCCAACCTCCGAGGAGAAGCCCCGAGTCGGCGCGCGTCAATCGGCCGAGAGGGCCGGCCAGCCGCCGTCCGAAAACAAGGCCGACGTTCGATACGGCCGGTCGGGCCCGCCCGCCTGCGGGGCTGGGCTGGCGAGGGGTGGCTCACCATGAGACCGCTCTCCACAGATGGCAGCAGGATCAGCTGGCACCCGTGCACCACTTGGTTGGCCTCCAGAGTTCCGTCCCGAAGCGGCCTGGAAAGAGCGAAGCGTGAGCGCCAGAACAGACGGCCCCGACAGCACCTCACTCAGAGGCGTGACGACGGCCCCGACAGCACCTCACTGAGGGGCGTGACGCCGGGATCCCCAGCGCCTGAGCAGCAGTCGCAGCAGGTACTCACGAGCTGTAAGCGCGACGCGTCATCGTCATCCACGTTGCCGGGCGGTTACCCGATCAGAACAGTCGGGATGTTTGGCTACATTTGTTGCAGCTGGGTGAGCTGGTTCATATGATATGCACGAGTGTACGCGTCGGACGGACGTTTGCATATGGTGGTTGATACATCGCATCATTTCGCCGGGTTAACAAACACAACCAATATGTATCAACTCTGCAAAAAGGCGAGCCAAACGCTGACCAACAACGCGTGCGGTCAATCCAGAAGTCCAGCCGGCCATTCGAAGCCCCTCCTTATCTTCCCGTTCTGCTCCTCCCCGGTTCCCAGCCGCCTCCCTAGCGGGGTCGAGTCGCAGCGCCCCGGCGAACTCTGCGCCGCGGGGCGCGGTCAACACGCGCCTGGACGCGGGCCAGTCCGGTCCGCCCGCGAGGCTGCCGGCCCCACCGCCGGCTCAGATCACGTGACGGCCCGAAGCCCGGGCCCGAGCGTGCCCTTGCGCGGGTGCATCAGGTGAAGACAAAGGCCGGAAATTCGGCAGGCTCGGACGGCTGGCGACCGGCGCGAGGAGCATCTCCGGTTGTGGTGGTGGTGGCGGCCGTGGGGGTGGGGGTGGGGTGGGGATGGGAGGCGGGGGTGGGGTGGGTGGAAGGGGGAACTGGCGCTCTTTACATTCGTCTTATTCCCACAGCTACTTGTGAATGATGTCTTCAGATCCCACCCCACATTCCTAGCAGCGCTATAAGAGACTGCCTGTGTCAGCCGGCGGGCCGCGCGACAGGCTAGAAACGACCGAGCGCGACGGACTCCGCCTCCACGCCCAGTTGCTCCCCTCGGATTGGAATGGGCGCGGAAGGCAGCCCGCTGCTCGCAGGTCTGCTGCAGCCCACCCGACCCCCAGGGCTGCAGCCGCCGGTGCTGGAGGGCGGACGGCTGGGAGGGGGGGGGGGGGCGACCTTGGTTGCCCCAGGTACGTAACCACTGCAGTGGGTGGGCAAAACTGCAATGGTGCAACCATAGGCACTCCATTAGTACACTGGAGAAGGAGGCTTGGGGACACGCCCCAGCCATTCCGACAAAGAAAACAGTTTTTGAGCACTCAGATGTTGCTAGAGGCGACTTTTATTCACCTACGCTGCATAGCAACAATTAGCAGCATGACGGCACGCAAGCCCCTGTCCCCTCCCCCACCTGCCTCCATGACGTGGCAACAGCCAAGCTGGCGACGGGTGACCAGTCCTGGCTGCCAGCGGTCCCCGACCCGGCAGGCAGGCCCCGGCCCGGCAGACAGGGGCCCGGCCCGGCAGGCAGGGGCCCGGCCGCCCGGTGGGGGCCCGGCCCGGCCCGCCGCCGGCGCCGGCAGGCGAGGACTGTGGTGCTGGTCCTCACGCCAGCTAGTGACCTCCTCGACCTCATCAGGGGAACATCCGCGGGTGCGAAGGCCGGCCTGGGAGGATGCCCCCCTGCTTGATCGGCTTAGGAGCAGGCCCCGGTGCGCCAGGGATCGGACGGCGCGTCCGGCACACTGCACTGACCGGCGTGGGGGGGGGGGGGGGGCAGCGAGAGGACGCCAGGTCAGCGGCGGGGGCGTGGAGATTCAGTCACAACATGACGGGCCGCAGAGGCCGCAGACCTGCTCCGGTGTCCGACGACCTGTCACAAGACCCGGCCACCGCGGTGACCCTGCCGCCCGTTCCATCACTCCAGGCATACGCGGCCACAGCTCGCGAGCAAGCTTCTCTTTCAGTTCCACAGGAACTGTGACGTCACCCCGTGTCGACAGCGATGACGAGGCAGACTCTACGCTTCCGTCCCACACTCCGTGCAGGCATGCATGGGGCGGCGCAGCGCTGCTGCGGAGATCAGAAGTCGGCTACATCGGGAGCAAGTTGGCCCCGCCCGGCGCATCACCCGCAGAAGTTGTCGGTAGCCTCCATGAACGTTCCGGCCCCGCCCTGCGTCTGACTGCGCGAGATGGCCCACTGCTTCATGGGCCGCGATTAATAACCAGACCACACGTCACGACGCGTGGCAAATATTCGCCAGGACAAGCTTGTCAACTGAGGTATATGTAAGATGTGACATAACGGAACTACAAGAAAAGGTATTCCTACGAATGTTGGCGCTGTACCTGATCCCGCTCCACAAGACAGACAACCCAACGTGTCATGCGCTATGGCCAATAAGCAGGAGAAAGGCATCGCACCCAAGACGGTGTGCATTATATCGCAACTAAGACAATGAATGTTTCGTTTTGCCTGCTCAAAAATATTTTTTAGAATCCCTGGCCTGTGAAATTTCTTGCATTGTATCAAACACCTGGAACATTCAACTCATGAAAACGTAACATAAGCATGCTCTTGGAAAAGACCCTCCCGGTCACAACAGCGGCACACCTGATATTGGTGAGCATTTCTGGCTACAGAGATTGATATTGGCAAAGACTTCTGGCTGGAGATTGTCATTAGAGACTGTCGTTACTGGAGGCCGGCCGATCGGAAGCGAGTCACTGTAGTCACAGTTTGCCTACCGCTTCACTATAATAAAACGTGATGCCGCAACATGCGCTGTGCCTGGTGATCTGCCAGAGGCTGCCGTCGATCCGCGATGGAAGGCGTACGGTGTCGGCGGCGCTGGGCTGCACCAGCACACCTGCCGTACGACGAGCGGCCAGCACCGCCGCTCACCCGCTCAGAGCCAACAGTGTTTCGTGTTGACGCAGTCTCCGCGCGGCGGCCAACACTGACAACAGGCAAGGGTGAGGAAAGTGGACACCTGAGCTGAGCAGACCAGGCAGATAAGAAGCTGAGAGGAAAGCGGCCCCCCATGATAGGGGACGTGGCAAATAGGACAACGACAGGCAGAGCGACGGCGGACTTCCAGCGACAGGGAAACATCTGCACCGGTGCCAGCGCAGTGGCGATGGCCGGAGCCATGCCCTGCTACCGGCAGTGAAAGCCACAGTGGTGACTTTCCGAGCGGCAGCTCCGCCCACGCCGCCGTGTCACGGCCAGCCGACAGCGTCACGCGGCGATCGGCACTGACTGTGACGCCCGCCCCGCCCCGCCCCGCGCCTCCCAGCCACGCGCGAGCCAAGATCGGCGCGACCGAATTTCATCGATCACGTCTATCGACCGGCACAGGTCGTTCGCCAGCGTCGGGCTCGGTGTCGACCCGCCGCGCTCGGGCCGCTTTGTGGGGCTTCTGGCCGCCAGGTGGGCGCTGCGGGCGCACCGCCGCTGCCCGTAGGAAGTGTTACATCTTCAACCGGACGGCCAGCCCTGATCGATTCCTGGTCGTCAACTGGGCTGCTTCTAAGTGTATGGGTCGTTAGTGCACGGACTGGTACCTTAATAGCCGTACGTCGCCATAAAGCATCGACATCAAAACGAACTGTCGTAAATTATGCAAGAACGATGTGCCGATTCTACCATGCAAAAATAATTCAGACGTTCAGCAGTGACATCAGAAACAGTTAAAGAGCACGCGGGCGCACCACAGAGCAGAGACATGTTCGCTCATGCTATCCTGGCACCAGAGGGTCGTTATCTCCCGTTCCTCTCCCTCCCTCGCGTTCTATGTTTATCTCGCCGGCCATTGGTAGACAAGCGACGGAACGGCGCGTGGTCTGCACGTTACGACGCGCGTATGTACTGCCGCCAGGGCCTGGCACGACCGTGATAGGATGACATCGGGGTCGAGACGCATCAAACGCCGAAATGACCGGTCCTATGGGACGGATTAACTACAGCACTTGCGACGGACTTTCGAGAAAATGCATGCAGCAACTCCACTTCCACAAGAGAGACCGACATGTTTGCCGACGGACACAAGCACCGAATCTCCATAAGATCCCGCCCCACAGAATCAATAGTCAGTACCCTAAAGGGCAGTCAGCCCAGTCGAATGCCAAGACAAGCCTTTCAAGCTTGGAGAGCGAGGGTCGGTGGTGAACGGTGCCGTCGCCGGCTCACCGTCTGCTGCGGAGGGCGACTGATGCGGCCCGGCCATCGACCGACAGTCGCCGCCCGAGTCTCCTGCGTCGGCAGCGGGTGTGTCCCTCCCCAGACCGAGTCCCCTGCGTCGGCAGCGGGTGTGTCCCTCCCCAGCCCGAGTCCCCTGCGTCGGCAGCGGGTGTGTCCCTCCCCAGACCGAGTCCCCTGCGTCGGCAGCGGGTGTGTCCCTCCCCAGACCGAGTCCCCTGCGTCGGCAGCGGGTGTGTCCCTCCCCAGCCCGAGTCCCCTGCGTCGGCAGCGGGTGTCTCCCTCCCCAGCCCGAGTCTCCTGCGTCGGCAGCGGGTGTGTTCCTCCCCAGCCAGATGTGCAGCGACCGAGGGCCAACCCACCCCCCGGTGTTATCGCGACTTCCGCCCGCCGCCCACTCACGCACGCACCGGACCGCTCCACGTCCGGCGTACTGCGCTGCCCTCTCGCGTGGACTGCGGCGCCTGAAGGGGCCGGTAGCTGCTGGAATACATGGCTCCAGGCGTAGGATTGGTTTCATTTGGAGGGGCTGCCTCCCAACTTCTGAGATACTGCAGGTTAGCTTTCCCAGCCTGACCGGGTGAGCCCGGGTGCTCGCAATCAAATCCAACACAAACAAATTCTGAAATCATATTTCGAATTTTTCAGCGGAGAAATGAACGAATTCTGAGGTCGTATCCTGCTTTTTTCTGTAGCTACATTCTGTCGAACCAATCCGAGGAGAAAGATCGGCGCCCTGCAGTTCGACCCGTTATGTGGAGGCGCCCTGGTGGTTCGACCCAGGGCAGAGCCCCTCCCCCAGCCGGTTTTGCGAAACTCCGTTCCTTTTCGTGGCACGAGGTCTTTTCAAAGCCGACATAAGCTCACGTTACGTCGCCCGGCAGGCTGCTCCCCCCGGCTGCTGGCAGGCGGACCTGCAGACGTGACCAGCGACGTGGATATTCAGCCCGCCGCTCAAAGCCTGCTGACGCATCGCCTATTTGCTGTTAAGATGCATCTGAAGGTCATTCACATGATATACGGACTTCGCATCGTCCACGGCTTCAGCGCATGGAGGAAGTTTGCTGCTGAGCGGAGATTGAAGCCACTTTGTTTCTGGCTTAACTTTGAAGATGTAGGTGACAACCACGCAATCAGAGCCGCGGGAAACCATTATTTAAGTACGAGGTAACGAGTCGCACAAACAGCCGGAGTACCACCGGGACCACCTCATCCATAGGCAGCCTGCACGGATCATTAATCTGCAGCTTCGCAGCCGGTTCGTTACTATCCAATTACCGCGGTCCCCTTCCCTCTGTGGACGGGGCTTACCTGTGCGGCCGGCGCGTGGTCCGGGCGGGTGCCGCGGCACGCCTGTGTGTGTGTGTGTGTGTCCCCCTCCCTGTCGGGGAGCGCCGGGTGGATGCCCTCCACCCCGCCGTGCGACCATGGATAACGAGAGGGAGCAGAGAGAGAGAGAGGGAGAGCGCGCGCGCGCAGGGGGAGGGGGCCTCAGGTGGTCGAAGGGCACCTGTTGCTGGAACGGCTGGCAGCTGGCGCACACCAGAGCAGGCCGCTGGGAGCAGTGCCGACCGGGCGGGCGGGCGGGCGGGCCGGCGGGCCGGAGACATGGCGGCGGCACAGGTGCGCACCTATTTCGGGGCCCGCAGCGCCAAAGGACCACGCCGTCTCAGTTAAAGCGCGCCAGTCCGCACGACACCACCGGCGATCGGCGAGGGTTTCATCAAAGCAGACCCGCAAAGGTTCCCCGGAGAGGTCGGCGTCGGTCAGCGCAGGCCTCCCATCAACTCGTGACGTCTGCTCCCGGCAGTCACGTGGCCAGTGACGCCATCACACTGGCGGTGTTCCTGCTAGCTGACCGCGCGGACCTGCCGAGTCAGCCGGCCGGACAGTTCGGCTGGCAGGACCGCGCGGGCGGAGGTCCAGCAGCGCACTCCCCCTCCCCTCCGTCCGCACCCCGCGCTGGCCCTCAGAGGCAGCACAGCGCCCGCGGGCCGGCGCGGCCCCCGGATTCCGGCAGGCGGCCGCGCAGCCACGTGACGCCTGCGTCAGCGAAGTGACCGCGGCAGGCGGGGGAGGGGGGGGGGGGGCGGCCGGTGACGTCTGGTGCCGGGGGCGCGTGCTGCGCGCCACGAGCGTCGACCTCGCTCCGGCCGACTCGCCACCGTGTCTGGCTCGTGCCAGCTCTCCTTCACGAACAGCTGATCTTTAAGTGAACGTGGCCACGAGCCTCGGTCGGTACCGGCCAGCCGAGCACGACTGCGGCCCGGACCTGGCCAGCGCGACTGGCGGGCGGACCGCATCACTTCAGCAGCCGGTGCACCCCACTACTACCGTACAGCCAATTCGGCGCTGTGGGGCCGAGATGTTATGAAATCAATCGTCGGCAGCACTAGGACGCACGCTGTTCTGACAGTCCCCGGGGGCCCGCGAATCCCATGGCCGTAGGACACGTTGGCGAAAACGGTTCCACTCGGAAACGATGGCCGCGCCGTTACCAGATCGACCCCACCGGCCGTAAGCCGTTACCAGATCCGTAGATAAACGGCGAACAGCCCGCTGAGAGCATCACGGGACCAACCGCACTCGGACGTAACCAGCAAAGAATTGGGAAAGGCGGATCAACGAGGCCTGTAGCCTTGGCATGACCTCCGCTATGTGCCGCAGACGGCAGCAGATTATGGGTGGCTGAGGAGCCAGCTGCCACCAACTTTGGTGGAATTAAGTGTTGGCCTTATGGCGTGGCATGGGATGGAAATACTTGAACACCACCGGCTCTGTCTGTGCGCGTATCGCACTGGCAGCACTGGCAGGTCACCAAGTAACGATGCAAGCTCCATACGCGGCCGTTGGGCCAAAGGAAGCGGGGGCGTCATGGAGCGATGTAAGCCCCTCGCGCGGCCGTTGGACCGGTCGAAACGCCGCAGTTGGCGGGACCGCGTGCATTGCTAACAAAAGGTTCGCACCAGGGGCGGATGCAGACGGTGATCAAGAGGAACGCTCCGTCTGTTGGGGGACCGTCTGTGTGCATCATAAAGGCGCTATTTTAAAAGGACACTGTTTAAGTCACGTAACGTCTGAGCAACCAGGGAGGGGGCAAGCTCCCCGTCCCCTTTCACCTTCATCCGCCCCCCTTTCAGCGCCGAGCGATGACTCACGATGAGCGCGGTAAATAATCTTCCATCATATAGCGTTAGACTTATCAATTTGGTCATTTGCTCGTTTGGTCAGTTGGTCATTTGCCTACCCAGTCCTGGCGATTCCGTCTCTCCACTCCCTCCGCTCACCCCTTCAGTCCTGCCCATACGCACCGATTTCTGTAGAGCAGGCAGATGCGCTCCTTAGGCACCTTCAGCTTCTGCGACACCAGCAGCTTCAGGTAGTCGACCGAGTCATCGCTGGTGGCCGTCACAGCGAACTGGCCGCCCTGTGGTCGGCTTCACAGTCACAGAGATGCGCTCCGTCGGCCTGCCGCACGTGCACACACCGCTGTCTGGTCCGGCCTCGTCGCGACACACGCCCGAGCCGAGCCCGCCGGCCGCCGCCACGTCGTCGGCCATGACGGCGCGCGTGCCACGCCGGATACTCTGAGGACACGTGGTATGCCGACGCTGCCCACCGACGGCGCGTGCCACGCCGGATATTCTGGAGACGCGAGCTGCACCGACGGTACCCCACCGCGCGCCGGACCCGCACTGATCGGTGGCCGGCTGGCCGGCGCCGCGCTGCTGCCGTTGGCTGGCGCGTCGCGCGTGCGAGCGAACTCAGCTGGCGGACGTGTGCGCGCTTACACTGCCATCTAGCGAGTGTCTTTAAAAGCTTGAGTGTGGTAGTTCGTCGAGTGGGCGGATAGCAGTGAGGTCTGCTTTGCGTGGAACCATGAAGCGCGGTCTTTTTGATGCTGGCAGTTTGATGTGCTGCATCTGCACAGGTGTATCCACAACACTGGTAGAGCGGAATTTCCTTTAAGCTCACTTATTTTCATGCGCTACAACGGGACTGACGCTTAACATTTAAAAAGCAGGAGTGCGGAAACTCTGTTCAAGTTGGGGGCTTGGGCGAACTGCAAAACGCCAAAATGGGCTCCCTAAGATTACAAAAAAATGGGCACCTGCAAGCCGGAATGTGTCCTTAACAGACAATAATAGGTTTTTAAGGTCACAATAGGCTCCATACTTTCACAGCTTAGAATCGGTTTGAAATACCAGAATGGACTATCCATAGGCTCTCCAAGGCTGGGGGGGGAAGGCGGAGGGCGCCGCCTCAGCTTTCAAGCAACTGGAGGTGGGTGGGGTTGAAGGGGGGCGGGGTGAGCTGCGCACACAGTTCCCGCGTTGTAGCGCACAGATAGCAAGCCTCAGGTATCAAGCCCCACTTATGAGCTCGTGGAATTCTTGGATAAAGTATCTAACACATGATCCGTGAGGTAGTGACCTTCAAGATTTGGCGGCCTTATGTATGGGCTCCACACAAAAGCGGCGGCACACGTCTTCTGGTCGCAAAACTTAACGCCTTATCCGTGGCGTTTTACCACGCATGAAAACACCTTAAGACCCCTGAATTCGGATCTGCCTTGCTGTCTCAATTCACCGCTTCATCATAGAATACTCCTGACACCCTGTCTCAAAGGGGCAAGTTGCGGCCGTCACCGTCACGTCACTGTGTTGGGTCGGTCACCCAGGCAAGCAGCCTCACCCTGGCGGAAAACGCGCCCGAGCTCCTGCATATGCCCCAATGAAGGGTCACTGTGCTGGATAAGGCTAATTAGTGCAGGTCCCGACTACGCAAATCAAGTATCCCGCAATATAACCTCTCTCATTAACGCAGATATATTATCAACTAGGTAGCATCCTACTTGGGAATGGCTTGTAGGCAAATAATATTCACTGCGTTGATCAGTTCATATATATATATATATATATATATATATATATATATATATATATATATATATATATATATAGTGAATTTCGTCCGAGGATATCGTGCACAAGTGCTATATGAGTTGATACTCGAAGCCATCCTTTTCTTAATGATCCGATTATCTCTCTCTCTCTCTTTCTCTGTCTGTCTGTCTATCTGTCCGTCTCCCCCTCTCCTCTCCTCCTCTTCTCTCTCTCTCCTCTCTCTCTCTCTCTCTCTCTCTCTCTCTCTCTCTCCTCTCGTCTCTCGCCTCTCTTCTCTCCTCTCTACTCTCTCTCTCTCTCTCTCTCTCTCTCTCTCTCTCTCTCTTTCTCTCTCTCTTCTCTCTCTCTCTCTCTCTCTCTCTCTCTTCTCTCTTCTCTCTATCTCTCTCTCTCTCTTCTCTCTCTCTCTCTCTCTCTCCTCTCTCTCTCTCTCTCTCTCTCTCTCTCTCTTCTCTTATCTCCCTCTTCTCTCCTCTCTCTCTATCTCTCTCTCTCTCTCTTTCCCCACGATAGGTGCGGTGCGGCCCACTGCTTACCTGCGTTATAAGTCCCATGTTCTCTGAGATATCCATTATTATCCCCAAAGGCTCTAACCCAGGCCAAGCCAAAACACATCGAATACCCTTCACACATTACGGAAACCTGGTCCGATGAGAAAGATTATGCAATCGCTTCAGTTGATTACGCAGTCGTAAAATATTGATAGGCATAGGTATTGCCGCAAACATGGAAGATTAGATGCTCTAAGGCCATGGATACAGCACTGGTACTGTGGCAAAAAATCAATACTGATGCGATCTACGGATACGTTAAATGCTCTGAGCTACACGGTCATTTTTAGTCTACCACATCAGGAGCTTTAAAAATTAAAATATGCTGCAGACGACGCAGTTAGGATTACACTTTCAAAAACGACCAGCGTTATCGTCCAACAAAAACTTCAAGACGCCAGCAAACAAGAGGGAAAGGATCTGTTTGTTTCGAGTTTATTTTCGGAGTTTTTTTCGGTGTAGCCAGGGCCGGCGTTATCAGAACATTTGGTGACGGCGCGGGCGTGTTCCTGGTCACGTAGCTCCTTTGTGACGTCCGAGAGGTTATCGTTACTCAGCCGGAGGCGGGCCTTTGGAGCACCCGTGCGGGACTGTTCCAGTCGCCAGCTGCCTCTCTGAACGCCCGCGGCTCATTTAGCCGAGGCGGTGGGCAAGGGACCTCCCTCCGGTATATCTGCGTAAGCACCAGCACCACTTTGTCGGCCCGCTCACATAGGCGATGTAGTCGTTTCTTCCATCGCGGATATATTTACTAGTTGACGACATTTATCATGATTGTAGAAATGGTACGTCACCATCGGTCATGCATCACATACAGGCTCCGCGTACAATGGTGGTATCGCGCCGGTGAGATAATTATTGCAGTGTATTTGTGCTTTGCTGTGCGCCAACGGCAGTGATCATTTCACACCCACAATATATCATTAAGCATGTGTGGTGAGACGGGCAGTCTCGCAGTCTGAAATCCCTCAAGCCGAGCAACGCATGTAACAAACACAGAAGGAACACATTTATTTACACAACACGCTGACATCAGCCGACACCGGCACGACCGCGCCCGCCCGTCACTCCAGAGTGACGACCGAGCGCAGAGGATCCGCACCCTCAACATTGGGCGGATCAAGCTGGGCTGGAGGGACCACCAGCGCCAGCAGGCTGGCGCGCTCTGCAGGCGGGTCCTCCCAGCATCAGATGGGCACTGCAACAGAGGCAGTGTGTGCGGCTGACTGGGTGCATGCAATTCAATAGGTCGTCTGCTGTGCTTCTGTTGGCTGCACGGTTGCACTAATGATGCGGCTAGTGCGGTGTCGAGCACGCAGGTGCGCTGCTGTTTCAGAACTTGCGCCACCAACATTCAATGCGGCTACGAGATATCCGCTTCCCAACATACCACATATGCCTTACGGAGCAGTGACTCCGTGCTGCCGTTTCTTTACCACGGAAACCACAGGCCGATTCAATATCACCAGACTAACTATGACATTTTCATCCTGAGGTACTACCGTCTCTTTACCACGGAGACAACAGGCCGAGTCAATCTCACCAGACTAGCCATGACATTTTTATCCTGAGGTTCTTTACTGGTTTCACCGTTGCCGGTCTCTTTTTACGCACAGTCCGCACCGGGGTCTACTAAACGCAACACGCTGGCACACCCCGTCTAGAAACAGCGTCCCACCACGTCGCAGGACAGCCAGCTGTACAGCCGTCGGCCGTGTTAAGCTGAACAAGAGCCATATCGGCTACTTCATCCACACCGAGCACGCCACTGCAAAGGGACTAATACTTCGTTACAAAGGGGCTGAAATCGAACACATTGCTTGCGAATTAAAGATGTTGACAAAAAACGTCAGTTTGTGATTGATGGGCGAAGGCCCATGCGGAGTCCGGTGAAGCGTGCCATCGGAAAGCGCTGAGGAGGGCTGGAGCTGCCTCATATGTTCGTCAGGGAAGCATATGACTGAGGCCAGAGAGGTGCCTTGTGAGGAGTGGTACGAGCAACGCGGTGTAAGACATGAGGATAAACCATGGCTAATATTATTATGCACATGATGTCGAAACCTCGTACAGACGGACTCGCAGAGGCGGACACCCTATGGTAGCCCACAGAAACAGTCCCGATGAATATTTGGGAAACCCTGCCCGGCACGAAAGTTAAACACGAGTGTAAATGGGTCATTCGCTGCGCTCTGCAGTTTGTCTCACATCATGAGCTACTTTGGTTGTCGAGATCTGCAACTGGTCCTTAACACACGCCCAGGTGGAGTCGATTCGACCCTCCTTCGAGGACTTTTACGACACAAATGTCGAACGGCACGGCGTAGCTGCGCCAAACTGCTTGGCTGTAGGCAACTGAACAACAGATCTTTGGTAAAACAAAGAGATGAACCTTGCAAAGTCGCTGGCCTATGGTAGGTCGAAGTCAGCCCGTAGCTGTAAGCGTGGGCGATTTTCACGGAATCGATCAATCTGATGCAAAGAACTGAGTGTTAGATAAAGCCAGTACCTATGAAATAGTTCCTTAGGTAATAGCATGATTTAATTTAAGATTACTACAGATTACAATGGCCTGGGATCAGGTATGACATTCAACCTGAGGCCAAAACCAGCCTGCCTTTAATAGCTTTATTCAGAAGTTTCTGATGCCCATTTCAAATCTGCTGATACACGAACCGTTACGGACATTTTCTAAGGACTTCTTAGCCCTAACCCTGGTAGGGGGCAGGGGAGGGCGATGCGATCCCAAGTTTTTTTACACCTCACCGGCATGCTGCGCAATCGCACCGAAATGTCTGGTGCCTATGGGGAGGGGGCGGGGGGGGGGGGCATGTAATCCGCGTGTTTCGATACCAAAGACAGGTTTTTAGCTTTTTTGGTTCAGAGCAGCACCGTTTTTTTTTTTAGGAACATTGCACGGCGATCTACGGCCGGTGCGGGCGGGAACCAACCATGCCGCGGAACGCGTGCGACGGGCCGACGTTGCTGATGATGATGTATTAACGTGGCCATATGTCATAAGCATGTGCTCAAAACACATGCAAATATACACCACTACACTAAGATTGAGCAAGGAACACACCTGGATAGGTTTTGTGCCGCCGCGAGGCGTAGTCTCATATGTAAGATTTTGTTTAGCTGAAAAGGGGCGATTTCTGGAAAATTTGACCGTTGACATAGCAGAATGGGGTCGGTTTTTGAACTAGCAACATAAAAACTGCTACCCATCGCGATACCTCGTTGAGACCAGCCCACTGGTGTTATCAGCTTAGCTCTATCTCCATGAGCGTGGAAACGCCAAGGGTGTGGCATCGACCCCCTCTATCAGTCCACGTTATAAAAACAGCGAGTCGGAGCGAGGGTTGACGGCCAGAAAAGGTCATTGACCTGAAGTGATCCAGTTCAGCCCTCCGTTTTTAGGAACGTACTGCATAGCGTAATCTTTAACGCTCATTTAATTTAAAAAAACAAGCTCGTAGGTTTTTGTAACCATGACCTATGGGTCAAAGAAGGCCACCAGTACTAGCCTAAAATCAATACGGGTGAACTTTTGCTTAGAACAGGTATTATGCTCAAGGCGGTTTCGTGAACAGGTCGGAGGGTGTTTTGGACACCAATCTTGAGTTTGACCTTGTCTGACCTTATTTTACCCAATGGTCACGACCCACGGCCCTCAAATTTTGACACAAGTGAGCTCACATACAGAACAACCCATCTTGTGAATTCGGTGGTTCTAGCTCTCTTAGTATTTCAGATCTCAGGGGTTCGAGGTGACCCCCACCCGAGCGAAGGGTATTCAACCGGCTACCCGGGCGCATGTGTTACAAGCGCAGAACGAGCAGTTGCATCACAGCAGTTGTGCACGCAAGCGCGACCGTCCGTGAAATCCATAATTTTGCTGATCTAGTGCTGACACTTTTTGATATGATCGTCCGTTTTCTCCTGCGTTTGTGGCTGTCTTTTTCGTGTCGCTAAAACACCAGGCGTGAGCAGTGACGCAGTCTTCAGCCGTTTTTTTTAGCTTGTTTTCGAGAGTCGTAAATTTCACTTTTCATGCTAACCGACTAAGGGAGGTGGAGTTGTGGTGATAATCCAACGTTTCATGAAAATGCTCTCTATTCATCAGTTCGCCTAAAAATGTCTAGCGACTCAACGAACAAATTCCTTAGGCGTTGTAGCTGAACACTGCATGAAGCCGACAGAAGTGGTTGCAAACATATGATATTCCAGAGTGTGAAGACCGAGCCGCTTAGTTTAAACACGACTCATAATCAAATCGAGACTCGGTAAGCCCCTGGCCAACCTCATCATGATCGACACAAACCATGCATCAACAAGCAACTGCTGGGCGTAAATCGGACCGGGTGTGGCTGCTAAAATCGAGGATTTTTGTTTCATGGGTCTGACCATGACCAAGACCAGTCCCAACCAGAAGTCCCAACGCCCTACTTCCCTACAACGCCGTACTTCCAAGCAATTACAGGCGCAAATAACCGTTGCAGTTGACGCACCCTTAAAGCCCAACAACTAGCTCAACCCCCATTAATCACAGGATTTACATTGAACAGCAGGTAGGACGTGAACACTGTGCGAACACACGAGCGGACACATTTCACCCAATTTAAGACAGACATCGTGATAAAAAAGATCAACTTTGATGCGAGGCAAAGGGTTGAGCGACCAAATGCCGCACTGCGCGAAAGAAAAACAACAGCAACAGCACTTTGGGCATTGTTACGACTCGAGCTCCCGGGGCGAGCGCCCACCCCGCGGTCGGCGACGGCCCGGCCGCAGCGGCCCAGCCCACTCACGCGGGTACTCATCGCCGGGAATGCTGCAGTCGTAGAACTTGCGGCTGGTGCTGGCCGTGAACATGAGTCGCATGGTGGAAAGGCGACGGCCCGAGAGCCGGATGGGCCGCGCGTGCGCGTATCCCAGCGCGCCGGACACCGCCTGCCGACAGTCGGAGGCGACGGTCAGAGGCGCCGGGCCGGCCCACCCGCCGGCCGGCGCCGGCTGGGCTCGCCACGGCCGCTGCCGTCTGCCGGCCGACGGCAGCAGCGGCTCGGAAGTCAGAGGCCATGACTAGCGCACGGCCTTCTCGTGTTCAAGCACAACCAGGGGTATAATGATCAAATCATTGAGCCCATCGATCCTGAGAGCATGTCACGAACATGCCGGGAACGCATGTCAGACGCAGCAGCCACGCCAGCAGAGGGCACGCCTCAGCCGGCGAGCTCACCGTGAGCACGCGCTCCTTGCAGCGGGCCCGGTTGCAGTAGAGCGCGCAGCCTCCCCGGGGTACCAGACTAGTACAGTGGCCGTGACGGTGGGCAGGCCGGCGCGCCTGCGCCAGCCGCTGCAGCTGTCGCCGCTCGAACAGCACCACCCAGACAGCCTCCTCGAACAGGCGACGGCCGCCTCCTGACGGTGCGGCGCCAGGGCGACGGTTAGCGGGACGGGACCGAACGGGGACGGGGACGGGGGCGGGGACGGGGACGGGGACGGGGACGGGGACGGGACGGACGGGGACGGGGACGGGGACGGGGACGGAGACGGAGACAGGGGCGACGGTTAGCGGCACGGACGGGACCGAACGGACGGACGGGGACGGGGACGGGGACGGGGACGGGGACGGGGACGGAGACGGAGACAGGGACAGAGACGGGGACGGAGACGGAGACGGAGACGGAGACGGAGACGGAGACGGAGACGGAGACGGGACGGGGACGGGGACGGGGACGGGGACGGGACGGGGACGGGGACGGGGACGGGGACGGGGACGGGACGGGGACGGGGACGGGGACGGGGACGGGGACGGAGACGGAGACAGGGACAGAGACGGGGACGGAGACGGAGACAGGGCGACGGTTTAGCGGCACGGGACCGAACGGGGACGGGGACGGGGACGGGGACGGGGACGGGGACGGGGACGGGGACGGAGACGGAGACAGGGACAGAGACGGGGACGGAGACGGAGACGGAGACGGAGACGGGGACGGGGAGCGGGGACGGGGACGGGGACGGGGACGGGGACGGGGACGGGGACGGGGACGGGACGGGGACGGGGACGGGGACGGGGACGGGGACGGGGACGGGGGACGGGGACGGGGACGGAAACGGAGACAGGGACAGAGAGGGGGACGGGGACAGGGACGGGGACGGGGACGGGGACGGGGACGGGGACGGGGACGGGGACGGGAGGGGACGGAGACGGAGACGGAGACGGAGACGGAGACGGAGACGGAGACGGAGACGGGGACGGAGACGGAGACGGAGACGGAGACGGAGACGGGAGGAGACGGAGACAGGGACAGAGATGGGGACGGAGACGGAGACGGGACGGAGACGGAGACGGAGACGGAGACGGAGACGGAGACGGAGACGGAGACGGAGACGGGGACGGGGACGGGGACGGGACGGGGACGGGGACGGGGACGGGAGCGGGACGGGAGCGGGACGGGAGCGGGACGGGAGCGGGACGGGAGCGGACGGAATCGGACGGGGACGGGGACGGGGACGGGGACGGGGACGGGGACGGGGACGGGGACGGGGACGGGGACGGGGACGGGGACGGGGACGGAGACGGAGACGGAGACGGAGACGGAGACGGAGACGGAGACGGGGACGGAGACGGAGACGGAGACGGAGACGGAGACGGAGACGGAGACGGAGACGGAGACGGAGACGGAGACAGGGACAGAGATGGGGACGGAGACGGAGACGGAGACGGAGACGGAGACGGAGACGGAGACGGAGACGGAGACGGAGACGGAGACGGAGACGGAGGACGGGGACGGGGACGGGGACGGGGACGGGGACGGGGACGGGACGGGGACGGGACGGGAGCGGGACGGGAGCGGGACGGGAGCGGGACGGGAGCGGACGGAATCGGACGGGGGTGGGCGGAGACGTGACGTAACGTGACGGCATGGGGCGGAGGCAGGCCAGGACGCGGCCAGCGGCCGTCTGCCTGCGGGCCGCGCTGCGGTGGTCGGGTCTCCCGTCCATTAAATGCTGAGCTACCCGACACGGTGACCCGCGTGAGGAGACGCGGTACGGGCCAAGCTTCTCGCCTTGTGCACACTGTGTGCCGATTAACGGGCTTCATGCCCCGGCACGTGGGCCGTCCGTCACCGCAGACGGGTTGTCAGACCCTGTGTGTGTCACGCTGGAAGGCATGCCTGGTGGTGCCGCCTGCTGGTCATTTCGGACAGCGCCGCTCCCCCTGTGACCAATAACGCGGCGTCTAACATCCCATTCGCGAGACACAGGCCCTCGTAAGCACGAGCCGGGACTCTCGACCGTGGAGGGCACCAGCGCAGGCTAATAGACTCAGTAACTGGGCCCCTCAACCCCAACACTACCACCAACGAACACCAAGGTTACACAAGCAAGAACACACGACCATAAATGGTGTCTTGAACGCATTATTTATGTCGTACTGAAAAGCAGCGCAACCATGCTACTGAACACGTCTCGATCTCGGACGATATTGATCAACATCCACAGCTCGTGCTGCTGCAATGCAATTACGGTTGTTGTGACAATGCATTTTAGCGCCCCACTCGCTTAAGCCTCTGTGTGGATTTTTATCCGAGTTTCGAACATGAGCGCAATACATTTACCACCAGTTTGGAACACGGGCGCAATATATTTACCACCCGTTTGGACCATGGGCGCAATATATTTACAACCCGTCTGGAACACGGGCGCAATATGTTTACCACCCGTTTGGAACACGGGCGTAACATTTTTACCACCTGTTTGGAACACGGGCAAACTATATATTACCACCTGGCTGGAACATAGGGCAATAGAGTGACCACCTGTTTGGAAGACGGGGGTAATTCAATCAACCACCTGTTTGCAACACGCGTGCGGAATACATACATATTTACAACATATTTACGGAATACGGGCGCAATACGTTGGCCGCCGTTCCTGAGGTTTTTCAGCGCGGCGGTGCCAGCGTCTCACCATGGCGTTGTCCAGGCCGTGCTCGATGCGCAGGCCGATCTTGCGGCGCCCGCGCGGTGACGTCACAGGATCGACGCCGGACAGCCCGAACGTGTGCCAATTGCTCGACTCGCGGCCGGCCCGCAACTCTGTCGGGCCAACGCGAAGCTGTAGTATCCCACCTAGCCACCAGGCGGACCTCAGCGACCAGCGCAAACGGGGAAAGGCAGACGGGGGATATGAAACGTGACGGGGGATAGAGGTCAGGGAATGATGACGAGACAGGGGCCAGGGCCGGGGACATGGGTAGAAAATGCAAATATTGTGCCAAAACATCAATCATCAATAATGCCATCAAATAAGTGTGAGGGTTATCAGACAGATGGCCGGCCAGGGCGGTGCTATGCGCAACTCGTTTGTGATGCAAAGCTCATGACGATCATATGGTACCACATTACACTGTTTATGCTGTGCCGGGTGGCAGGTAATAAATTCAGCCACCATGGCTCACACAATTGGCAAGATTGCTATGCAAGTTACTACTTACTTAAGCAGATGGCATCCTTCAGCAGCTCTATTTTTGAAGGCATATCCTGAAAATTGAAACAATACAACATCAGTAGATCAGGATATGGTTTCACACTGACTAATTTAGTCAAGATCAGGACAATGATATGTGTGCTGTAAGCCAATGGGTGCATCAATAAATGGGCATACATTAATGCATAATTAAATGTGGCTAACTTTATCAGTGCTTGAGGCAGGACAAGAAAAGCTTACAAATATGGGGAGAAGCATGCACTAAGCCATTAAAAAAGGCAATGTAGGGAATGGCAACCAACAGTGTGAAAAATGATACCCAGCAGAACAATGATACCTAAAAGTTAATGTAAAGTTCATTCAGGATAAGTCACAGTCTGCCTTAATGCACCTAGGCATTTCAGTGATAAAAAAAATGGAAGCATACCATTTCATACACTTTGTTCTTAACAATCCTCATCGTGTCCTTTGTAGATACCGATCTTGGGACCTTGGCCTTGGCCGCCATCAGGAGATCCTGCTGAAGTGGTGTCTTCAAAACCTACAATAAATGGCACCTGTTAGTAAAAACAAGAGTAAAAATGCAACATTTGAGGGAAACTTTAAAGGAACATTAAAATAGCATAAATATGTGGTCACACTCCAGGCTACAATACTGTAGTGTACATGTTGATTTTTGGCAGGTATGAAATATTCACGAGACATAAAAAATAACTAAACCCTCACATATCTCTCCAACAAACATTGTATATGTGTTTCCAGGATGTAATTCTAACAATGACCACAATTCACGTCATTTCAGAGCTGGTTGGAGGCCTACCTGATTGATGAGACGTTCCAGACGAATGTCAAGCAGGCCGCTGCTGAGCAGTTGCTCACCATCCACATTGTCTGTGTCCCCACTCTCATGGTCATATTCAAGATCAGCCATCATAAAACATTGGCAGGAGGAATCTGGAAAAGTGCATGATGGCGCAGGATATCAACACACCAGCATGGAGACTTGATCACACATTCCAGGCTAAAAGTAATATGAAGGAGGTAGCAGCAATGCTTTGCTTCATTTCCTCATGATGCCATGTTGTTTTATGGTTAGTATGGCTGATCTATGAACAGTGCACAATCAAGAAAACTTTGTTGGTGGGCAGATCAGAAACATGCTGATGTTAACAGAATATAAACAATCACCTGACCATTTAAATGTTGCATCACACTTAGGATCCAAATAAATTTGTTTTAAAAATAATTAAGTGGCATGGAGACATTTGAGACATGAATCAGCAGAACAATTAAGCTAAAATCATATTGAAAACACATGGTGGGATATTTTGAGAGGTTAGTACTGCCACACCAGGCTTTTAATTTCATTCTCTCGACATAAACTGAAAGTCTTGATTAACATTCCCAATGAACTCCAACACCTTACATTGTAAACACTATACTTATGCAGCATGCAGTATACATACTTGTACAGTATTTACTACACATATATAGTCCCAACTAACCAATGTTAAGCCCAAATATTTTGTGCATTTGTGATAATTTCATCTTGCTCATTGCCACACAATGGGTTCAGAGTCCATATGCTGTGTCATTGACCTTTAATATACCAGTGAGTACTGGTCAAGCAGCATTAGAGTGCAAAGCTTGACCCCACTCTTGCATGTGTATGCTGGGGCAATGGAGGACATCTGAGTTTGGGGGCCAATAATTGTAGTCATTTTTGGTAACTTCTATCCAATTACTATCCTTGGGGATAGTATTAAGTTCTCAAACAGTTGGAAGTTCAGCACCCCGGCTTCCCTATTCATGCACCACCTTAGGTATGCACATGCACTGACATGCATAGGTAGTGTACTTTACCGTGTATGCTCACGGTGTTTCACATATACCATCGCCCCATTTCATGAAATTGTACCACTTTTGCCTTTTAAAGAAAATATAGTTCGCGTCATACTCACGTTCAAAGCAACCAGCTTTCGGTGTGATAAGGCCACAGCCCTTTTTGACGATTTTTCAAATAATACGCAAAAAATACATGCATGGTGGAACAAGTTCTACCAGTTTTGAGCCTCCGCAAGCAGGAGCACACTCACTACCAGAGAATGTAAACAAAAACAAACCTTGGGAAGCAGGAAATGCATTAACAGCTCCCACCGCAGCTTAACATTTTTATTCAGCAGGTTGATATTCACCTCCTACCGTTGTACACTTTGTATTCAAGCGCCAGTTGCCGATGTTCAAATTTGGCAGCAATGCTTATTACCATGAAAAATATTGAAGAAAGAAGTAGCAGAATGATCTTGGCAATGTCTGTTTCTGTTATCTCTCATGTATGTTTTGGATAAATGACGCAGAGAAAGAATTTATATGTCATTTTGTACTAACTTGCAAGAACTAAAAGTGAATGCTTCAAACCTGATATACCTGACTGAACCATTTGATTACCTTAAAGTGGCGGAAAGTATGCAAAGCTTTTGGCATGCTTCTTATAAATTAATAACAGGGTGAAAAATCGGTACTTCAAATCAGAGTTGGTTCAATCACTTTTCATTCACTTCATGTTTTCTGCCGACCGTAGGTAAATTTTATGCCGTGAATCTGGTATCCGAATGTGCGTTATATATGGCGCAGTACGTCCGTCGTTTGTTTATGTCGGATTTGCCATTCGCGTGTGGAGTTCGCGTGTGGGCGGTGTCGTCGTGGTTTCTGTGGCTGGTTGAAATGGCGATTCTTGTTTAGTGCATATAAATGTTCGGTCATTCTAATGCGTTGCTATGCGGTAAGGCGAAGCTAAAAGTGTTGGGGTAATTTCGGCCGAAGCGCTCAAAGCGAACGGCGAACATCTCGTTCAAGGTTTGGCGGCCCGTTGGTTCCGAAATTCTAATGCGTTGCTATGCGGTAAGGCGAAGCTAAAAGTGTTGGGGTAATTTCGGCCGAAGCGCTCAAAGCGAACGGCGAACATCTCGTTCAAGGTTTGGCGGCCCGTTGGTTCCGAAAGCAATTCAACTCTTAAACCGGAAAAGACGGTGTGAGGCAGTGCTGGAGAATAAGCGCATATTTCACTTTTGTGATTTCTGTGTGGTGAAACCGAATCCAAGATGGGCACATCTCAAACCAACAAAGAAAACGGGAAAGGAACACCCGAGAAGAATAACCAGCATGCAAGGGGCAAAACCTCCTTTGCGCGAGTTGTACTGCTTGATGGGACTCTGTTTGAATGCTCAGTTGAGGTAAGCTGGTCAGAGATCTCTGTACTATCTCTGAATGCCTGTGACCCTTCGAATGAAACCTTTGGTTTAGGTCTACTGCAGGGATGGGGCAACCTCATTGGTATTGGGAGACCACATGAGTTTTGAATCATTTCTTGCCATGCATCATCATTAGGTTGATGTGAAGTTTTCCAGTGATGGGGCAGATGTGATTCTGCCTCATAATCTTTTGCCCATATTCCTAAGGCTGTTATGAAAATTTATGAGCAGATCCAATCATTTGCAGGATGCAAGATGATAGGTATGTGGTTTGGTTATGGTGCGGGCCAAACAAATCAAGTATGCAGGTGGGGGTAGCTTCATGAGCACCAGTGGTCACCAATGATGCCTGATCAAAGGGAATTTAAGTTGAATAAATTTATTATATCAGCTAAGTGCCTGCTAAGATCATAAACCACAAACCAGGCTGCCAGAAATGCATGCTGTGCAGAATGTGCCTGGCCAAGCAGTGACATACTGGTAGAAATGTCAGTGTATGCACAGCATAGATCTAAGTGCTCAGAGTTAAGTGCATGATAACCAACAGTTTAAGAGGTAAAAGGAGCTGGTGTTGCAGGAAATTATTATCTCAAAGGTAATTTCAGGTAAGAATGCCCAGAAAACCAAAATGATGTGACAAGTTAACAGAATGTGGCCTGTATTTTGCACATCTGTGTGCGAGGCTTAGCATCCCTATATGATTAAGGCATCCTGCATGGGTATCCAGGGCAGTGGGTGAACTTTTTACAGATTGGCCATCCTGTAAGCCAACGACTTGTGTGCTCATGGCTTTCCTGTGCTACTTTCTTGTGACAAAGCTAACCAGGTGAACATAATCAAAGAGTTTCAAATATGTTCAGGTTATCAAGTTGCAAAATTACTTACGTGAGCAATATCTTATGACTGAACTTCATCCCAACTATCATCATAGCAATGAGTAGTATCTTATGTGTAGATGTCCAAGTATATGTAAGACATCAAAGTTTGGTGTCAAATATATTACTTTATACTAAAAGCTCTTTAATGAGATGTTCATAAAATTTAGCATAGTGACCTGTGAGATACCTCAGGCATCAAACCACCAGAGATGCAGTGGGGTGCTGGGCCATGACCACCATCAGACATAATGCATGCAATTTGTGTTCATTTTATCATTGAACTGCAGTGGTCTTTGGCCACAGGTTGGGATAAACCATCAGGAGGGTACCTCTTTGTCATTGCTGGCAGTGTGTCATGGTGTTGCCTGACTTGTCATGTCATGAAACATGAACATGATAATAGGGAGATGCTTCCCATTCCCAGCTGGTTATGGCACTCACCCCTTCCCCCAGCCTGCAGGTGCAGGTTCATGTCACCTGTCTGACCATGGTGGGGGATGCCACCTGTCTAACCCGGGCTGGAGATATCACCGGTGTGGCCCTGGACCGGGAGACGTCACCCGTCTGGCGGCGAGGGGGGGGGAAGGGAGGCCGCAATGTTGCCCGTCTGGCCGGCGTGCCGGCCGGCGCCATTAGCGGGCGCGTGTGCCGGGGCGGGGCCGGAGCCGCTCCGTCAGCGTCCACTGGCGTCTCCGGCCTCTGTTTGGCCTCGGGCCGGCCAGCTCTGGCGCTAGGGACCGGCCGGGCCGCAGGAGGAGGCCGGCCCGGCTCTGCAGTGCGGAGTCATTGGCGAACTCCCGGCCAAACCCAGCGCGCGGTCTTTCCATATAGCGCGCGGTGGCCCCGGTATTCTCTCACTGAGCCCAGCGCGTACTGCCCTGCAGTTTAGTTGGGAAGTGCATACCGACTCAGATCTTTGTATGACGGATCAGACCTCTGGCTTCTGAGTCAGCGCACAGCTACAGCAAAGTGCCCAGGCCACGTGGTACAAAGTTATTTCACAGCAGTTGATAGGATGACATCGTGCTGCCAACTCCCTATTGTCATCACTGCTTTGAGTCTCGTCGGTACCCGCACCCAGATGGAAAAGGCCTAGAGCGTGTGAACATGAGTCGGCCGGACGCGGTGGCCGGGTGGTGACCGCCCGATGCCGGGTCCAACCGCCCTCAGTCCTCGGCGCAGCCCTCGACGGACGGCGGCCGCCCACTCGGCACGACCGGGCGGCGCTGCCTCATTGGCTTCGGCAGGAAGTGACGGCGCCGGCCTTGGCTTGATGAGCTGGTGTGCGGCGGACGCCGCTAGCGGCAGCGTGCCGCGTGCACGGCCGGCGCGGGGGTGGGCCGTGACACGCGGCGATGGACACGCCGCCCGCGGCCGTGGCGACGTGGGCGTCCAACGGCCGTCCAGCCGGCCGGACGTGTGGCGTGAGGGGAGGCCTCGCCGTCGCCGGGGCTTGTGGCGGTGCCGCGGTCAGGCCCGCGCTTGGGAAATGGCGCAGTCTGTTGTGGGTTGGGCTTCTGGTCGTGGTCGTCTGCGGAGGACGTTCCGACGACCAGCTCACCGCAGAGGGGTCGTTGCTAATAGGACAATATTCCCATTGTACCAACGTCTCCCGCCGAGCATAATCAGGTTGGCTTTGATTCAGCATTTGTTCACTACAGGGTTTCAAAGGTGACCCCCGCGCAGGGTTCTCTTCTGCATTCGGTAGCGGAGCTACTTGGATGTGTCGCCCCGACGTGCGCGTGGGGAGCAGCGTCACGACCGTCCGCCTGTGCCATCGACACGGCTCTCGATCGGGGCCGGTGTGTCCCGCTCGGGCCGCTCCGGCCGCTCCGGATGCTGCCCGGCCAGCGTGCCCTCTCAGCTGGCGGGCGACGCGCGCAGAGCGAGGGCTCGGCCTGCTGTCGTCGGCCAAACGCGGCACGCCGCACCCGTCTGTTTACGTCTCCACGGCTCCGAGCGCCAGGCCGACCTAACGACGCGGGTAGGGCGGACCCTGATGGACCCCAAACGAGCGGCGCCGGCCGGCCGACCTCTGCCCGCAGCTGTCCGGGCCGGGAACACTGACGTCATGCTGACCAGGCGCCAGCCGCGCCGCTGAACGCTAAGCTGACAGCACGGCCGACGGAGTGCCCACTGCCGGCGAGTGCCCACGGCCGGCGGAGTGCCCACGGCCGGCGGAGTGCCCACGGCCGGCGGAGTGCCCACGGCCGGCGGGGTGTCCACGGCCGGCGTGGTGTCCACGGCCGGCGGTGTGTTCGCGGCCGGCGGTCCGTGCCGCCGCGCGGGGCACGGGGACGGCGGAGCCCGACCGGGCGTCCTGGTGCCGCCCCGCCCCCCGTCCCCGCCCCCGCCCCCGCCCCCGCCCCTGTCCACGGCCAAGGCCTTCCGTCCGGCGGTCTCTTGGAAGCCCTGCAGGGTTGCCGTCCTGCAATAGACTTGTGTGGGTTTGGAACTCGACGCTATTTTGTTCTACCCCCACCGGACTCATAAGCTACCACATGAAACACCATTATCTGACGGATCACCACTATGTGATAGCGAGACATTCTGTATGGATTTCGCTGAAGCACTTCAGCTTGTCAACGTGCCCTTGATTTTTCGCCAGCTTTGGTGTAAGTCACAAGTCCGCCGCCAGTGCCATGACCGACACTGCCACTAGCAGTCGGCACCGGTCCGTTCCGGGGCTGGTCCTGCTGACCGTGCTATGACCGACACTGCCACTAGCAGTCGACACCGGCCCGTTCCGGGGCTGGTCCTGTCGACCGTCGTCAGCCCCGCTATGTCTCCGCTCGCGGTCGCACGGCCCCCCGCGGTTCCGGTACGATGCGGGCAGCGAGGCACCGTCCCGCGTCCCGCTCCCGTGTCCCGACCGAGATATCCCATTCCGAGCCGCCATGGGACCGTGCAGTGGCGACTGCCGCCAGCCCAGATCCTCACACGGCTGCGCGGGATATCATACCGAAGAGCGGGACGGTCCGTGGATAGCAGAGCGTTGTGTTGGAATGCCTCTGCGGAGTGCATAACTACAGTGATGAATGCTATTCCTGAGCTGCAGGCAGTCTGCCACCGCGCGACCGGAGCGTCCGCAGCGGATCGTCGCACGCACCCTTATAGAGCGGCGCCCCGGCGGCCGCCCTGCCGCCCGGTCGGCTGGCGACCCGCCGACCAGGCAGCCGGGCGCCGGGCCGGCGGGCCGGGCGCGGTCGGCCGGGCGCCGGGGCGTGGCCGCAGCCGCGTCGAGCCCGTCGGCCGCTGGGCCGGCGCCGACACTGCGGCCGCCGCCGCCGCAGCCGCCGTCCGGCCAGCACTGGCTGGCGCCGGACGATCGACCCACGCCGCGTGCCGCCCGTCCGGGCCGGCACGTGCGAGCCGCTTTGTCTGAAGTCGGTGGGCCGCGCGGAAGTCGGTCCGACTGTAGAGACCTGGGGGTAGGGCGGCCGGCTGGCTTCAGTCCCCTGGAGTGGGCTGCGTGCGTCGGCGCGTCCGGTGGCCGCCGCAGCGAGCGGCTTCACGTTGACCCCCAGCAGGCCGGCCGGCAGCTCATCCCGCCCGTTTGTCCGGTCGGCCGGCCGGCCGGGGGCGTCATGCCACGCCCCGCGCCCAGAGCGTGCCGGGCCGCCCGACGCCCCCGCCGGCCGGCCCGCCCTGCGGCGGCGCGCGCCCGCCTGCCGCGCCGCACAATGGCCACAATGACGGGGTCGGCGCGGCGGCGTTCCGCTCTGGCGATTGGCTGACCGGTTTTTCTGGGCCGAGTTTTTTGGCAGGTCATTATGTGTATCTTGGCGTAATGTCGGGTGTGGACGTGTCTTTGGATTCCACGGTGCCGACCTGAGCGTTTTTCTGCACCGCGCTGCCGCTTGTTAACATCGTGCGTTTGAATGGGAATGCTTCACTGAGTAAGCAAGATTTTGATGCGCGACGACGAAGCTCACAACACGCCGTTTGGTAGTCCGAATAGCATCGACGCGAATCGTCTGATCTGGGTTGAATTCTGAACCCCCAAATTCGGGCCCATGTATGCTATATTATCTTATATTTGTTCAGTTACATACATTCATCGATAGTTAGTTGTGTTTCAGTTAGAACATTTCGGCATTGTCT